CCCCAAAGACCATTTTATAATTTTAAGATATTGATTATGCATCCCATGGAACTGGGAAGGGGCCAGCTAAGATGCTTTGCTCCTTTCAGGGAGAGTCCAGAGAAGATGGCTGTTAGGATTTCCAGTCATCTGCAAATGCTTCATCCGTCAAATGGAGGGGGACTCTAAATAGTTCCTGTTATAGACTGAGATGCTGGAAGCTTGTGAAGCCTGTATGGAGGATGGAAAGCATGAACAAATGGTGACAGAGGCTAACTGCATAATGTAACTGTCCTGGGTTTTAGCTGGGACAGACCTGGGTTTCTTCTTAGTATCTAGAATAGTGCTTCATTTTGCTTTCAGCCTGGGATTTGTTATGGGAGAAACACTGATAACACACCAGTGTTGGCATTTTTGTTGCTGGAAGTGAAGGACTTTGTGTTCTGTTAGTCTACAAGCACAAGATCTAAGGGGGTGAGGAATATTTAAATTAATAAGCTAAATTGACAGTTAGATATGCTAGTGGGATATTCCATATCATATCACGTCATGTCCAGTGTATTAGTGAGGGTCTCTTCCTCTTTTGGCCTCTCTGGCTTTCACTCAGGCTCTTGCCCTTCTGGGATTGTGGTTTTGGTTCGGGATTGTCGCTCCTCCAGGATTGTCATCTGGGAATGGGCCGGGCTTGGTCAGCGGGTGGTGAGCAGTTGCACTGGGTATCACTCATTTGCATATTTTGTTACTTTCATCATTAACACTACTATTTTAATATATTATATTATTTTTTTTTATTATTTCTATTATTAAATTGTTCTTATCTCAACCTACGACTCTCTTTACCCTTGCCCCCAATCCTCTCCCCTGTCCCCTGGGGGTGGGAGGAAGTGGGGGAATGGCTGTGTTGGCTGCTGGCCAAGGGCTAGCTCAGTGAAATTGTCACAGTAACCCTGAAGTTTGTATTTTAAAGACCACCATGGCATACGGAGCAATAAACTTAAAACTGCAGTTCCTCCTTCCTTCAAGTATTTTGTTGTAAATTTTGCATATGGGTAATGGATAATTAGAAATAGGGTTTTATTCTACAAATACATATTGAAAAATATATGCTAAAAAAACCCTTAAAGCAACATATAGCATTTAAATAGACTACAACTTTCAAAGTATGCATTGACTTTAAGATATTAAGGCTATTACACAGAATATCAATGGAAGTTATACTCAAGTGACTTAAATTTCCATGTTGCATAACTATTTATATAACAGTTTTGATTTACCACTTAATACTGAATTTAGTAATTCTGATGAACTACTGAAAAAGTTCTTCATTGTTTTCCAACTTCACATGCTCACGTTTTCTTTAGCTGACTGTTTTATTAGATGACTTGTTGAAACAGCCATATGTACCTATCTAGTCTACAAGCTGTTTGGAAGAATGACATTATCTCCATGCACATTTATAAGGAGCTCTGAACACAATATTAGCAAGAAAAGATCAAAATCAAGTTAGCAACAATGTTAATTGAACAGCTGCAAATTATACTGCCATAAGTATTTTTTAGTCAGGACACTCCTACTGCAACAGTATCCTTATGCTTGTCTTCCTTGTCACCTGAATCCCTTGCATGAGAATTTATGGTAGGGGGTAGTTCTTTTATTTCTTGGATGTTCCCAACTAACTGATCTAACAGTGATACTTTTGCCGCTGTTAATGTCCCTTGTTTCACTGCTGTCACAGATTTCCCATATACTGCCTTCTGTCTACACAGCATGGCTGTGCATGGTGGCTTAATAACACCTCGACGATGACCTCTGGGTGTTTTGCCACATACGCTATTTAGATGAAAGCTGACATATTATTTAAATTAATTCCCTATTTCGTGCTGCTTGAGTCTGACTTTCATATCTGTTTTAAATCTTTACCTATAAACATGTGGACTGCAAGAACACCTTCTTCCTTATTCCCATCCCTCTAATAGTCTAAAGAAGCCGGGACATTAATTTCTGTTTTTCACCTCCTCTGGAGAATATTTGGATGGAATTCTCTCCCACTATTTGCAAAGTCTGATAATAACACAAACAGTATTCTGCATGTTTCTCCCCTATGGTTACAGATTGGGATTTCATGGATATCCATTTCTAATGGCCACATATGTTTTGTTTCTGATTGCTCACCCAGCATTGCATGATCTATTAAAGAGGTGTTATAAGAAGCAGTTTCAGGTAGTCTATTAGAAAAATAACACATTTTATTGCACGTTATCAGTATCCCAAGGACCATTTAAAACTCAGCTACTGACCTGATATTCTTTCAATGCCTTATGCTTTGGTGGTAATCTGAGATAATTTTCTAAGGGATAGAGGTCCCTATTCAATTCATCACACAAATTGGCAGCTTGCTAATAAATCTCAGCATAGGCACCAAGGATGAGTAGATATGGAAGAAGTATCTTGTCTCTTACATGTCAGAGCCATGAAAGATTTATAAGGGAAATCTTGTAGCATTGCTGTCACTAATGCCAAGCAAAGAGATTTTGCCACTGAGTTTAGCAAAGCAGAAATCTTCAAGAACATTATTATTTATTAACATCCCATGTCAGTGACTTACACTACAGATATTAGTATGTAATTTATTTATACAGTATGGCACAGTAATTATTCATGGCACTCTCTAGACTTGTACAAATGGAAGGGCCCTTCCCCCAAAAGCTGCAACTGACTTTAGCTCAGCTATAGAGATTTGGATAACAAAGGGTCTGACAAAGGAGTAAAACCAAAAGTTCACAATGTATGCTCAGCACCTAGGTATTTTTTGTGGGTTTTACACTGGATCTTTTATCTCTAAAAATATGTACGTCCATTATAATCTCAGAACAGCATCTGAAATGATAGCACATACTGATATTAGACTGAACTAAGAAAGTAGGGTTGCATGGCAGAACATGAGGGTTTACAGTGACTAGTAAAGTCACTGTAGCTGGTTTGGTTGAGAAGTGCAGTCATTTATGGGGAAAGGTGGAAAGGTGAGCTGAGCTAGGAGAGTAGGGTACTTACTGATCATGCGTATACACCATGCATAAAGCAAATCTAAAGAGGAATCAGATGCACAGTGAAGGCACTAGAGAGACAACTGTGCAAATATCTGATTTCCCAGACTGATTGGTTTTTTTATGATATATCCTCCTAGGTTGCTATGGGCTTTATAGAACTAGTTTTGCTTGCCTCTGAGAGCTATACTCAAACCACTCCAATCAGAACTATGTGGGCCTATTCCTTTTAGCACTTTGGAATTTCTACCGTTGCTGTATCAATTTTGTATTGTACATGTGTGTGGAGACACACTCAGCTTCTCAATGAGCTTGACTTGAGTTCAGTGCAGCAATGCTACATTAAATGGCTATTTTCTAACTCATAGATCTGGAAAATGGGGTTTAATCAATGACCATTAGACCTTGCACTCACTTCTGGCACAAAATGCCTTCTTTCATCCAGGGTTACTGTATTGTTGTTTTAATAAGTTATGATTGGCATTTGGCACTGAGTTATAGGGGCATGGAGGACTTATTAGCAGGAAGAAATGAAAATATTATGGAACAAAACAATTAAGTGGGAGAGGATAACTCACAGCGATGTACCACATTGTGTCATGCTCGCATTTCACTTCATGGTATTGAATTTCCCCTAGAAGTCCGAGGGGATACAGCTAACTAAGGTAAAACACTTCTCTGCTTAGGAAATTGTCCTAAAACGTTATTTTCTATAATTGGAGACCACATTGCAGCCAGAAGACTTAGTCATGGGTACTTTAGTACATTTACTTCAGTAAAAAAGATAGCTTGCGTGCTAAATCTGTGCACCATTTATATCTCATTTAAATCTCCAAATGTTTTCTTCCCCCAGCCCCTACTAAGATCTGCCCACCTCAAAAGGTTCAAGTAGGAACTGATTGACATAAAACCTCTTAAATGCCCCAGCAGTAAGAGAGTTTCTCCTTAATTTCCTTCCCAGTGTTTCAGCATTGCAAAAGAAACTGAAGAAACAGAAGACCCAGTTCTGTGAGATGGTAGTGTCCAGTCCTGAAGGTGGCTAAAGCAAAACCATTCATTAGGTTCTCAGCTCCTCACAGGAACCAGCCACACGACCCAATGCCTTTGTCAGGTGGTTTTTAGTCTCAGAAGATCAGGAATAAACAGGTTGTTTGCACAAGGCAAAGTGCCCAGGTTTGCCAGATTACTGGTGAGAAGAACCATATACTGTTTTATCTAGACTATAAAGAGCTGACAACAGATCTGATCTAGACTATAAAGAGTAAGACATAATGAACATGCATTTTCCTTCACCCTTTACTTCGAGAGCAAAGGCAGCCCCACATTTAATATTTTACATCCTTGTTCTTATGTACATTTCAGATATGAATTGTCATGTCATGAATTGGTGGTTTTGTCTCATAAGTCTCACAGGCTACATAAATCACTTTAGGACAGATGAAACCTTCTAACACAATATAGTTTTCTTTTTTTCTTTTTCCCAATATTACTGCATTAATTCCTCTGTATCTGCACAGACAAATTATTGAAAAAGTACATATAGGGAATGCTGCACTAAATTTTTAGGAAGGACTCAGACATTTTTTAATCCAGAAAATGTATTCAAAGTTTCAAAAGCAGTTTAAATGACAAAATTTACTTGCTGCAGCACTCAGAACAGTAGTTATGCATTCAGAAAAGTAGACTCATCTACTTAAATACTCCCCTCAATATTTGCTTTGTTAGGAATCATCACTCTTTTGCTAGAGAGCCGTGGGTTCTTCACTAATCCTTGCAGTAAGAACCACAAGACATGACTGTTATCAAGTTCATAAGTAATACTTGTATAGATGAGAAAATTTTCTTCCTTTTGCTGTTTTCTTCTCAACTGTGCCTGTAACTGAGAAGTTAACACACTGGGGTATGCACACATCTACATGCTGTCCATGAATAATAAGACTTTAATGACATCTGGGGCTAGAAGAAGCAATGACTTACGCTTGGAATGTTTGTCACAGAGAGCCGATGCCCTCATGTCGCAGAGTCTCAGGGATCCTTTGCTGCTGCTGTAGACAAAGAGATTGCAGTGATGGGGATGAAACTCAGAGGCTGTAATCACTTCCGTCAGGTCCTCCATATTGGCTGGCTTTATATCTACAATGTCTGAATGGAAGTTTCATTAAGGAAAATGCAGTTGTATGCAGGTAAACCAGTGACTCTTACTGCCTTCTTGAAGGCAGCATGATTATTTAAATGTCCATACATTTAATATTTTCAGATAAAGATATATTCATTTGTTTTGCAGTAAGGTGTTTTTAAATTTCCACACCTGACCCATCTATATCAAACTCAAAGACCCACTAGTCAACAATGGTTTTACAGCAGATACCATTAGTAGGTCAACTTTTGTCCATGCTGTGCAAAGACATCAAAGAAACAGTATTCCAGGGCATTTGGAATTCACCTTCATTAAAACCAATAGAGAGCAGGTAGCTAGATCTCCTTGTAGCTGCTATTGAAACCACTGCTCTATCCCAGATAATACTGATTGATAGGGAACAATGTATAGCTCAAATCTGCTCACTCCAGTAAAGGCTCACTGGCTTTTATGATCATGCAACTTAAGCTAAAAAATACATGTAGCTTAAGTTAAAAGCCTCAAACAATAAATGCACTTTTTTGCAAAGGCAAGTGTGGCAAACACAGAAGCATTTATGCTAATGGTTTTGTCTGAATATATACTAATATAATATCCTTTCTAAAAAAAAAAATAGTCTACAGTATTGGTTTTGCTATTTGAATACTTGCAAAAGAAATATCTGAAACGGCATTCTTGGATCTTTATGTAAACAATGCTCACTACTGAAATCAATATGAATTTCTGTGACTGAGAACTGTACATCTGAAGCATTTAAGTGGACATATCTGGAATAAAAATACACCAAGGATCTAGTTTCCCAAGCACAAACCTGTCGGTTGGATAACTAAAGATTATCCACACAAAGCACAGCTCACGCAGTGCCTTTCCAACACATATATATCTAACTCATATATATTACCTGTCTTGGTGAGCTTAAAAACCAGGACTCAATTAACACGTATTTGGAGGAGAAGGCCAGGCTGTGGAAGCTTGCTTATAAAGAAAAGAATGAAAGAAAGAGTCCCATGAGGGAGCTGTAAGAAAGCAGTAGGTGTACAAGCATAAAATTAAAGGAGGATATATATGTAAAGCAGTACATTTAAATAAGATTGTACATTTTCATATGGCCCTCAGCTATCTGCTGTAGATAAGCCATCCAAATGTTAACAAATTCTTCGAACAAGAAGAGTAACATTACCCTATTTTACTGATGAAGCTGTGTGAGGGGCAATAAAAGATTTGCATAAGATCACAGGGGAAATGCATGACAGAACAAACCCAGATCTACTGAGTTCAGTGCCCTAAACACAAATCATCTCAGTGCCTGGATTCCCCAAACATAAAATCTGAATCAGCTGACGTACAAAATTTAAACATCTCAGAGGGTAAGATAAATGAGAAAATCTGTTTTACTGATGGCAAGAGAAATCACATATCATGATACTAAGCCTGCTTCTGTTCCCACTGTGCCCACTTCCCAAATGGAAGACCTCTAATTGATTTCTGTGGGAATAGTGTACAGTCTATCACCACCTTTATACTTTGATCTTTCCCAAAATCTCAGATCTGGGACACTACATTGAAATTAAACATAATATGAAAGATTCAGAGATAATTATCCTGATGACTTTGCATAGACAAATACATCACATTGATGGTTTGGGGTTTTTTTACACCAAGGGTTTAAAAAGGAAAATATCAGCAAAACTATGAATATCTTGTGACATGTAATAACAACTGGGAATGAATTAATGTTGCATTTCAAAGTGCATTCCCATTTACTTGCACCATCACATTTGCATCCATCTCCAAGAATCCATCATGATTAATATTAGTGCAATGAATGTTAAGATGTAGCAACACTGATTTACTCCTTTTATAAAGCATCACTAAATATTCTTGAAAATCAACAGGAAAACATAACCTCTATTCAGTTATTTGTATTTGGTGAATCTGTCTCAAGAAATATCTTTAAGTAAAAGCAATTGCTTTCAGTGATTGAATTGCTTTCAGGAGTTCAGAGAAATTATAGTAACTCAATACAAGAATTTCACCTCTCAGCAGAGATATGAATAATTGCTGAGTGATGAGAAAGGTATAAAATATAAATAGAGTATGTGAAACAGTCATAGCAAGTATCATTTTTCTGGTTGCTGAAGACAATATTGATTAATTTCCCTTCATTGCATGAAATGAATAACCCTATGCTGAATAACGCAATTAAATATTCCATTCTCCTGGAAGAAAAGCAGAAAATACTTGAAACAGACTGTATTTCCAGATGTGATCTAAATCTCCACTGAGAAAGAACCTCATTGCTTAGTGAGGTTCATAGAGAAAATGCACCACTGAAAGTTCATCATTTCATTACATTTTGAAAAAATAAAACAATAACACTTGTATTGAAGTAAACAATCAAGGGAATAAAGTTGCAGAAGATATTTACCCCAAATGCATTTGTAATAATAGATGGAAAAACAGCCTTTGCTTTGACAGCTACAGAACCTGATGTATCAAAAGAACATGTCACAAAAAAAGACCATTTTCCTCCTCTTATGATTTTTCCATCTATTTGAAAACAATCAAATACAGCTTGACATGTGATGTGTGGGAACTGTATTTAAACTAGTGTGACATGGTAAGGGCAAGCATGTCCTATGGGACTTTTCACATTTCTGTTTTTCCATCTTCCCTTTGTGTCTTTTTCTTCCTTTTAAGGACAACATTTAATGGCAGGAAAATATAAAAAAAAATGGACCAGAAAGTGTGCTTCAAAAACAGGCCCTTTGGTGAACCTGAAGAGCTCAAAGAAGAGGGAATCTGGCAGAAATTGATTAAATGAAAATTCCATTGCTAAAGGGAAAAGTATCCTAATGGTACAAATCTGTAGAGTCGCCTCCGATGCTAATGGTTTCACTTGCAATTGCATCTTCTGGAGGGATGTCTTGAGTGGGGCACCGTCCCTCTCCCCGGTTCACTCACATCTGAAATACCAGTCACATCTGACACCTGTAATGTGGTTTATTTTCAGAGTGTGGACAAAGCAACTAAGACCAAAGCTATCTAAGACAGAAAGACCAAAGAGTACACCATTTGCAGTGCACTAGGATACAATTCTGTTCTCCTAAAGAAGCTGGTGTTCCTGTGCCTGAACAGGGTAGGAATTTCCTCTAAGAAAACGAAAAAGGTCTTCACACTGTTTTTGACTCCCCCACATGCTTGCCAAGAATGAGGCATTTCAATCTCTAGTGGATATTTGCAGTAAGGGAAAGCTGAACTGGCACCTTGCCAGCGATGGGCTGGAATGCATCAGCAGTCCTTTAATTTATTAATATTAAAACGAGGAACAGAAAGTATCTTCTTGATCACAAAAAATGGAACAGGTCTGTCCCTCCTAACCCAAATGTTTGCTGTCTTAAACATCAGGTCTCCCTTCCACTGCTTGGCTCAGTGAAACAGGATAAAGCTATGAAGAGGCCAACAGATTTTCTAGATGCTCTCCACAGCAAAATGGAAATGAAAGGTCTAGTATGCCTGGAGACCACAATGGTGACAGACGATGTTCTTACAGTTGGGTCAGTAGAGCTACAAGACCAGGAGTTAATTTTGGGAAAGGCACTGTAACCTTTAACTTCTGCTAAGAGTGTCTATGTTGCTCTCTCAAAATTATTCAAGAACAGAGGTATAACATAGGAGAGTGAGCAGGCAGGACAGGACCTGACTGAGAGGAGAAAGGAGACTTTAAGGAAAGATCTGAGGAAGGGGAGGGAAGGAATCAAAACAGTGTGAGAGGAAGGAGGCAAGAGCATAAGGAAAGGCATGATTAACAACCTGCAATGATATGCAGTGTGAGGGATGCGATCTGCACACACAATTTAGTTATATGGCATGTTTAGTTCTAATCCATTATTTTGTGCTGCTGTTGTGCAGCTGATATTAAAATGAGGATGACAGGAGGAAGAAGATTTGTTCCACTGCCTCTGGGCCACGGATCTAACAGAAATATCCTCCTCTGGGAGAAGTCACTCCATAAAGTTCCTTTTAGTGCAGGTTACAAAGATGACCCTCACCTTGATCCAAAATTCACATTAATCAGACTTCTCCACTTCATCAGCTAGAATATAAATGAGCACGCCTGCTTTATGATCATGCCAAAACATGTATAACAAGAATGTGGA